TCCTTCCTTCCTTCCTTCCTTCCTTCCTTCCTTCCTTCCTTCTTTCCTTCCTTCCTTCTTTCCTTCCTTCCTTCCCCCCCTTTTCCTCTTGATAAGTCTTTTAAAGTTTTAACAAGAAAAGAGGCTTGGTTACGTCAGTGGGACCAGTGTAGGATGTAAAGTGAGAATGTTGCTAGTAGTGTCTTGGAGAGCAATGGGTCCTTACGGCTTGGCAAACACTGGCTTTCATTACCCAGGCTTTTGAGTAAAGCCTTGTCTAGGTGACGTTCATTAATCTACTCACTCAAAAGAAATCTCTGGGTGGTGCTTTGCCAGTGTCCAGTTCCAAGCAATACAGCACAAAGGACAGGAAGTCCAGCGAGAGACCCCCTCCCCACCCTGCACGGGCTGTGCCTGGACACAGTTCCCGGGGCTGATGTGTGAGTGTTGGTCTGCCACCTGCTCAAGAAGAGGGAAGTTTTAGCCCTCAGGAAGTTCCGTCTTTGAAGACGCCAAAAGAAGGCAAATCCTAACTGATGCCTATCCTGGGAAAATCAGTTTGATATTAGCTCTGAGACCATGTTAGATTTTAGTCCTCAGTGTGGCCCACAAATACAGCCTAACCTAAAGTTAAACAAAATGAAAGTAAGAGTCATCTGTTGGACTTATTTATCTCAGAGTCAGGCATTCACAGTACCTCTCTCTCATACACAGTTTTACTTCATGTAGTCACATGTTAGAGGCTCAAAAATAAGAGATGGAAAATTCCAGAAATGAATGGTTCATATTTAAATTCTGAGGAGTGTGATGCTGTCCCATGTCTTCTGGTTCAGGATGTGTATCATCTCTGTTTAACCTCTCCGTGGTATACTGCCCACCTGTTAGTGACATCAAAAGCCTCTTGTTATTAGATCAACTGTCAAAGTACTGCAGTGGCTGTGTCCAGGTAATCCTTGATTTACTTAATCATAGGCCCCAAACCCAAGAGTGATGGTGATGGAAACTCATGGGTACCAAAGAAAGATCCGTGTGGTGCTTCTTGTAAGTGGAAAGATGAAATGAGAGAGGGGGGAGAAAACATTCACTTACATTTACTGTTATTGTAAATAATTTAAAAATATATGATGAAAACATATGTATATATACATGATTTGGTACTTTTCTCTGCGGTCAGGGAATACAGCTTCTGTGGATGGGGAATGTACTGTCTTGAACATCTTGTTCATACAAGAGATCTTACTTGCTGGGACAATGACAGAATTCCATAATTAGACACATTTTATTCCCTTTAAATCATACAGTTTTCTCTAACAGCCTGACAATGTTAGTTACCCAAACCCTTTTTGTCCTGAGAATGTTGTATCAGTGTGTGTCATTTCTTAGAGGAAGAGAAAATGAACTCCACAGATGGAAAGCACTTTAGGACAACAACCACGGCTCCTCCCCTCCGCACGTCTAGCTCTGGTTTTAACAGTCCTGTTCTCCAAGCCAGAAGGTCTGAAACACATGCTTTGAGAAGGGAAGTTTTCTCTTTCATGAACTTGTGTGAAAAGTTTTAGATTAGTACCAAATTAAACCACACCCACTGTGCTTTGATGAAGCACCTTATTGAAGTCAGAACTCAGAAAATCTGGGTTGCCCGAGGACATCGGGGCACACTGCCACCATCCCTGGTCTCTCGCCCTTTGTCCACATTTGTTTTCTTTGTCTGCCTTGGTTTCCAGTCTTTCCTCACACCCTCTTCTCCCCGTCTCTTCTTCTTGTGTCCATCTTTTCTGTGTGTTTTCAATCACGACTCTAGCTTTCTCAATGTGTCTGCCTGAGTTTTGTAAACACAGTTTAGCAAAAGTCCTCATTTAGTCAGACGTAAGGCTCAGAGCAAGGGCAGCTGGCTACTTCGTCCGTCCCCAGCTAAGTAAGTGTGGGAAGAGTTAGATTTATTTTTTCCATTTTCCTCCTGAATTAGTCGCTTTTCTTATTTCTGTGATCAAACTCCCGAGAAGACACGTGTGGGGGCTTACTTCAGCTCACAGTTAGAGGGTACAGTCTACGGGAGGTGAAGGGGTGACCACAGGGGACCGCCAACTGGCAGACTGTGTGGTTGGTTGGGGCTCCTCCCCTCATACCTTGACCAAACAGGAAGCAGAGAAAACGCAGGAAGTGGGTGGGGCTTTTAACCTCAACGCCCAGATCTCAGTGAATGAATCACTTCCTCCAGCAAGGCTCTCCTTCACAGGCATATCTGACCCATGGCCACTGGGCTACAATCCACAGAAGACAGCTGGGAACACAGAATTCATAAGCTTACTTAAAACATTATGAGATTTTTTTTGTAAGGTGATAGCATGGATGGGATGTGTAGGATAAACTCTATAGATGACAGTAACAAAAGACACACCTCCACATTATTAAAAATGGCACCACTGGCTGGGGACAAGTGTTTGAACCCATGGGCCCACAGAGGACAGTCCACATGCAAATCTCAACCCCTCTCAGATAGCACGCGTGGCCTCTTCACTGGGCCCAGCTACTTTAAGGTAAAATGCATATCGACACAAGTCACCACGTACTCTTCTCATCCCTTAGTGCTCCCAATGGCTCTTAACTCTTTGGCTTCTTCTCAGGGAGTGGAAGACGCTTTCATCAAGTCTGTGGACCAAGAGAGGTTGGTGCGAAAACAAAAGAGCAGGTTAACACAGGGCCTGGAGGAGTGAGGGAGCAGTGGAGGCCGAAATGCTAGAGAGGCTTGAGGGTCACTGCCACAGACTGACGTTTTAGTGGATTTGGACAGAAGTCTTTCCATCTGAAGCTGCTTTACAAAGCACAGGAATGGCTATGGGGAAATCTTGTAGGTTAACTTTTAGAAGGTTCCACTTCCAATTTATAATGCAGAGACATGTTTTGCTTTCTCTCCAGGTCTGTAACACCACCACAGACAGGAAACACGCAGACACCTTCCTGGAGAGATGTGTGACGGAGTCAGTCATGAACATTGTCAGCGGCTTCTTCAACTCACCTTTTTCAGACAACAGTACCAGCCTCCAGGTAGCTGGACCCAGTGCCGAGAAGCTGTAGTCTGGCTCGATGTCCTCTCGGACACTCTGGATAATCACTTGTCTCTTGTATTACTTAGCATTATGCCCTTTCTGACTTGACCAGACTTTAGCATTAACTTATTCATAATAACACAGAGGAATGGGTTTCATGGTGACATTTTTATGTGTATACATTGTTACATTTTCTCACACCCTCTCTGCTCTCCTCTCTTCTTTTGGTCCCAATATTTCCTGTGTTTTCATTTGTTTTAGTGTCTCTTAGCTTTTGCAGTTTTGCCTGTTTTGATTCACTTTGAAATTTACACTTTAGCAAACCATTCAAGTTTACACATCATTTAATCAGATTGAAAGATCAGAGACAAACCCCCGTGTCCTCTCACCCTCTCTCTCCACTTGCAGATCTCTCCCCAAACCCCAACTTCATTTTACATCGAGAGACCTCCTCCTAAGATGAAGTCATTTTCTTCTAAGTGCTATGAGATAGTTCACATCTGTATGTGGAGGGCCAAGTATGGAAATAATGGCTGATTGTTCAGATGGGTAGGCACCTGGACCAGCTGCCACATGTTAGTAATTTGTCCTATAAGTTGGCATATTAAGATTTTCCAGTCTTCATAAATACTTAAAAATATTTTCACTTTTCAACCTTAAATATCCACAGATGAGGAAATAGCCAAATACATTATGACATATTTGTAGGGTATTTTACTAAAAATTGTGTTCCAAAAAAAAATTTAATAGCTAAGAAAAATGATTCTCACTTAGCACAACACCACAGAATTGCATTAAATGTCATCTAGTTTGTTTGTGTGAAGAACACTAACGCTCAACCCTATGTGTCTGTGAGTTCCCACCTGCAGACCCTGCCAACCTTCAGGCAACAATATCAGAAAATCTCGTATTGAAGGTTTTGTATAGTGTTTGGTCTTTAGTATCTAAGTGCAGAACAACAGCCCTTTATACAGTACTTACATTTTATTAGGAGTTTTAAGTTGGATACATAGATACACACGGATTTCTGCATGTCTGAGGTTTGATGTCTCTTTCGGTATCTGTTGGCATGAGGGATAGCATCTTAAAGATGTTGATCTTGGCTTTCTCTCCACTGAATGTGGTAGTGGGCCCCTGCAGGGTCAGAGACAGGTGGACCCTGCAGCTTGGTGGCCTGTGAGGTCTAGCCAAAACAGCTTCGGGATCAGTGAGAGACCCTGCTCGCCAAAGTAAGGTAGAGGATGGATGGCAGAGGAAGATAGCTGAGGTCAGCCTCTGGCTTACACACACACACACACACACACACACACACACACACACACACAGAGGAAAATAGTGAAAACACAAATGACCAATTTTCTGTAGTGCCTGGCATGTTTCCTCTCACGCTATCGGCATACAGACATTTTGTGGAGTCAGGTCCTTACGAGTGGCATCGAAGCACACAACACTGTGTGGTACTTTACTTTTTGGTCCTGTCTGATAAGGTGTAGCTCTGCTCCCTCCTCAGGCATGTTAGGGTCCATGGCATAGTGACACAGAGTGACCACTTTCCTTCTGTTTTCAGACCCACCAGCCAGTCTTTATCCAGCTGCTGCAGTCTGCCTTCAGAATTTATAACTGCACCTGGCCCAATCCAGCCCAGAAAGCCTCAGTGGAGTCCTGCATCAGAGCACTGGCTGAAGTGGGTAAGTCGGGGTTTGGTTTGACTCAGTTACACATTTCCTGGAGCAACTGGACTTGCGGCTAAGAGCTTCACAAGCAGCTTTCCAGTGTAGAACCTCACAAAGAAATAAACCAGGCTTCAAATATGGCTTAGTGAGGTTTTGTAAGAATGGCTTAGCTAGTTATCTTCCTTTAAATTGTGGAATCATTTTATTTATTAATAAGGCCTGATGTTGTCAATAGCTTTTTATGGCAGTAGACATTTTTGAGGTTTTTTTTAGCACTTCAATTTGTGTGAAATCTGCATCACTCAAAAGCCTGTTATACACTGAAGGCTTCAAGGATATAAGTGAAATGGAGGCAAGGGATTTAAACTAAGGGCAACGGAGTATAAGAATTCTCATAGATGCACCACTCTGTATAAAGTTATGCCTTACGTAGTTCTGTAGTAATTATTATAAAAAATTTTGTGTATAACAGGTGTGTTTATGCATATTATGTGTGTGTGTGAATGCAGGCACATGCGTGTATGGCACACATGTCAAGGTCAGAGGACAACCTCAAAGCTATTCCTTGCCTCAACCTTACTTGAGACAGTCTTCTTGTCGTTTCCCCTGTATGCAGGCCCAGAGCGTCTCCTTTCTCTGCCTCCTACCTGTAGCAGTGCTGAGATCACATCTCACTGTAGCAGTGCTGGGATTACATCTCACTGTAGGAGTGCTGGGATTACATCTCACTGTAGAAGTGCTGGGATTATCTCACTGTAGCAGTGCTGGGATCACATCTCACTATAGCAGTGCTGGGATTACATCTCACTGTAGCAGTGCTGAGATCACATCTCACTGTAGGAGTACTGAGATCACATCTCACTGTAGCAGTACTGGGATTACATCTCACTGTAGCAGTGCTGGGATTACATCTCACTGTAGCAGTGCTGGGATTACATCTCACTGTAGGAGTGCTGGGATTGCATCTCACTGTAGCAGTGCTGAGATCACATCTCACTGTAGCAGTGCTGGGATTACATCTCACTGTAGGAGTGCTGGGATTGCATCTCACTGTAGCAGTGCTAGGATCACATCTCACTGTAGCAGTGCTGAGATCACATCTCACTGTAGCAGTGCTGGGATTGCATCTCACTGTAGGAGTACTAGGGTAACATCTCACTGTAGCAGTGCTGAGATCACATCTCACTGTAGAAGTGCTGGGATTATCTCACTGTAGTAGTGCTGGGATTACATCTTACTGTAGCAGTGCTGGTATCCACCTCACTGTAGCAGTGCTGGGATTGCAGATACACACCACTGCATCTGGCTTTATGTGGGTTATGGAGACTCAAATTCCTGTTCTCAAGCTTGCACCATATGCACTTACCCACTAAGCCATCTTCCCAGTCTTTGTGTAGATTAATTATGGATGGAGGGGAGGATAGAGAAGAAATACGGGCTTGGATTGACAGAAAATAATAACAACAACAACAGCAACAACAACAATAATAATAATAAAGGAAAATCAAGAGGCATGTGGCCATTCCTGGTGATTCCATAGTTTCATTGTCATGGTTGTGGTCCTGGCCACTGTTAATGTTTATGAGCATATACCATGACCGAGGCCAGCTCTTTTACACCTTTAACCTTTGATAGGTTCTTTGATTATTTATATTTCACAGTTCAGGAAACCATTATCTTTGCTAGTCATTTAGAATATGCTTAGTAAGTATGTGATAGACAATCAATGATTTAGCTAATTATGACCACTAAAGTATTTTTAGTCTTTACCTAATCTGCAATCTGACCTAAGAGATTTTATATTAACAAAACCTAATGGTGGCACCATTTTTAAGGAAATGAAAAATCAGATACAGTCTAGGAATATCAATTGCTGACTACTACAGCTAATAGTAATATAGTTGCCTAGGGAATTAGCTTTAAATAAGAATTCTACTTATAAATATGTGGAATAATAATTATTAATAAAATCTCTACTTTGCTTGCTTCTTTGACACACATCCCCCTGTGCCTGGGCACCCCTCCGAAGTCCTGCCCTGGATTGCAGAGCACCGAAGCTCTCTTCTCCTCCTCCCCTCCTGCCTGGGCTCCTGGTCCACCTGTTGCTGGGATGGGATTTTCTTCCTCTGTGTGCAGGTGATAGGGCCCTCTAGTCCTCTCGTGTTTCTTAAGTGAATGCTTTAATGTATTAAAATTAATAATATAATAAGTTATCTGTATTTCTTAAGTTAATGTTTAGGCATTTAATGTTGTCACTGGTATAGTAAGGATATGTTTTCCACACCATGTTTATGGTTTTGTTTTGATATGAGCCTCTGGCTCTATCCTGGGTCACTCTGTTGAGTGAAGACCTTCAGCTATACCTCCTGAGCATGGCTGTCCCTGGCCCTGTGACCTCCTCTCTCTCAAACTCTGACTGTCCTGTGCATCAGCCCTCTTGTCCAGACTTTCAGCTCCTTTCTGGACTCCAGTGCTCTGGGCCATAGCTGCTTTCCACACCTTACGTCACTGGGCTCCTCCTGAAGTGTTCAGAACTGAGAGGCTCTTCAGGGAAGAAACACACAGGGAGGGGGAGACTCCAGCACATAGTGTGTCAAAGATAAAGCCATACATGATTCTCTAATCTTTATTTAAAAAGACACATATAGCACAATGTTCAGAGATATTTATGTAAAACACTAACAACTCCAAGTGCTAGAATGATCAGTGAGCCTTTTTATTTGCTGATGCTTTGACATAATTTCCAAATTTTAATAATATACTGCTTTCCAAGTTATAATACAATAGTGAAAGTTTTTTTTTTGACCAAATTAGGAATTATATCAATCATTAAAAGGAATCATCTAAAGGAAAAGCAAGTAGTGTTAACTTTCACATAGCTCACAGCCTTTCCTCCAGATTATAATTCTAGATTTTATTTCCTTCTCTCCCTTCCTCTCTTCTTCCTCTTTTAGTGCTCCACAAATGCAATGAGAGCTAATACCACTTGGCCCTACCCAGCACTTAGAGGGAGTGCTGGACAGAGAAATTGAGACAAAGACAGGCATGGGAGCAGGTACACCTGTAATCCTAGCCACACGGGAAGGTGATGCAGGAAGATTACAAATTCAAGGAGACACAGAGAGCCCCTGTTGCAAACCAACTAACTAATGAAGGATGAATGAATGAATGAATGGATGAATGGATGGACGGATGGATGGATGGATGAGAGCTGGAGAACTCCATGTGTGCTTACTGTCTAAATTCGAACTTAGAGATATTTAGTGTGTAGCCAGATCAATTCTTTCATGGCAAGATAGCAGAGCTGTGGGCTTAAAATAGTCACCCAAAATACACTAGCCTAAATACATTTTTATTTTTAAGACTTCATTTTCTGCACTAGCCAAAAGTGAATGGTTTTTCAGAAAAACTTGGTTCCTTTTTGTGTGCTAAATGAACACACATGTGTGATAAGAAGTCTAAAAATGATTTTATACAAATCTGCAACCAAGGAAATGATGGAGAGTGATGCTCGGTATGCTGTCTCAGTTTTCTCTCCACGAGGCTGACTTGCTTCTCCTTCTTCTGTTGGCCCCCCTGTCTTACGTTTTACAGCCACTGCCTGTGGAGGTACACCTGTAGTCCCATCATTTGTGAAGTAGAGAGAGGCGGGAAGATCAGGGGTTTAGGTCAAGCCTAGACTATACATGATGGGCTACATGAAACCCTGTCTCAAACAACAAAATATTTTTGTTAAAGTTTCTCTGTGAAAGCCATTTTTTCCCTTCATCTCCACAATGGTCTCTTCTCCTCCCGCTGCTCAAACTTCCTTGTGGTCTTTATTTGATCCTAGCTTATGCCATCACAAGCATAAAGATGGCTCAGCAGATAGGAGTGTACCATGCAGAGGACCTGGGTACCACTCTCAGGACCCACATCTAGTCGCTCTCAACAGCTTGTAACTCCAGCTTCAGGGGATCAGATGTCCTTTTCTGGCCCCTATGGATACTGCACTAACATGTACAAACTCAGATAGTGACACACAAAAACTGTAGTTAAAAATAAAATAAATCCTAAAAAAAGACATTCATAGGGAGCTGATGTCATATAATATCACATACAATGCCATTGTCATATTATCACACATCACATCACTATATTATATATCATGTCATATCATCATGTATCATATTATAGCGTTATATATAATTTCATTTATATTGTGTCATATCACACCATCATATTGTAGCATATCATTCAATAATTTATAATATCTTCATTGTTTCATATCATATCATCAATTTATTATATCATCATATATAATTCAATCATATCATATCATGTCATATATTGTACTATTTCATACTGTCATATACTACTATCACATTGTAATGTCATATATTGTATATTGTATCATCTAATATATCACCTCATCATATCATATCATATCATATCATCATGTCACATCATATCATCATGAATCATATGTCATTCTATCATATAATTTCATTTTGTATCATTGTATCGCATCACACTATTGCATTGTAGTATATCATTCAATAATTATATAACCATGTCTTCATATTGTATCACACCAATTATCATTTAATACATTATTATATATATCATTTATTTATAAGTATATCATGGCATTATATAACCGTATCATTTCAAATTGTCATATTACATTATATCATATATCACATATTATACCATCATATATATCACCTCATCATATCATATATCACCATATCATATATCATCACCATCAATCAAATGCTCATGTCATACCGTATCATGATAATATATAATATGATGTGACATGATACTGTAAGACATGAGCATTTGATTGAATATCATCATGTCATTTTATCATGTCATTATACCATGCCATCATATCATTCAATTACATCATGATAACTTCATGTTATTATATTACATGTATCATGTCATTCATCATATTATATATTATCAAAATATGCATATCATATAATTTCATATTACTATATAATCCTATACAATCACACAATCATCAT